TTTAAAAATTTTTTAGTTCCAAAAAAAAAAAAAAAATTTTAAACAAAAAAAAAAAAAAAAAAAAAAAGCATACAATAAATATGTAGAGTGTCCAATAAAGACTATAAATGTCTGGTTATTCCGTTCTGTAGGCAGTTTTCCATACTTGGTGCTGGGTAAGCCACAGTGAGGGAGGTGGTCTATCCCTCCTGATGTCTTCTTCATCTTCTCCTCCTCCTCATCATCATCGCAGGCCTCTTTGGCACTTATCTAGGGTCTTGTAGTAGACGCGGGTAATCATCGAGCTTGGTGATTTGGGTTGTGGCGTGAGCGAGACCTTTCGAGGGCTGCACGGCGGTTGTCTGTTCAAGAAGAGATGGGGGGGGGGTGCAAACAGGTGAGACTGGAAAATAAGAAGGAAGGGCTACACTGATTCATGATTGACAGAGGAGCTGAACTACATGAAAAAAACTGTACAGAGAAACTAAAAGAGGGGAGTGGAGAAAAAAGGCTGATTGAGAGCAAAGCAGCAGGGGAGGACGGAGAAGCGAGGAGCTGCAGGAGCGGAGGGTGCTTGTGTCTGGTACCGTAGTAACTCCCTTCATCTCCTGATCCTGGCTTCTTCTTAAGAGACCCTCAGCTGTCCTCGCATCAGATGCGACATATGCACAGGAAGTGCAGGGAAACATACAAACCAAAGAGCAGGGACAAAGAGGATGACACACAAAGGGTGTTTTTCTGTTAGCATCAGCTTGTTGCTGCCAGTGTGGATCCTCTCATCTGACCTAAGACAATGTTGATTTTGCAGTTTTATGGGGCGTTAGAAAAACTTTGGCACCTCAGCTCACTTTCGAAGCAAATTTCTCTCCAACTGTGAGCACTTTAACAATTGCTTTACAATTGAACTTCACATTTTGTCACATTAAAACCACTGACATCACTGAGTCTTTCACATGAAAGATCAAAACAAGGCTGTGTGCAACTACAGTGGATGGGAAACAAAGTTGTTGCAAGTCTTTTGGAGTAAATATCAGCCTGCTTTTCACATCTAGAGACTAAAGTTTCTATCCTTTCTTCTATGAAGATAGGAGAGAAAATGGAGATGCTTTTATCTAATCAAAGGGTCTGCAGCTCCAGTCGTCCATTGCCGGTAGCCGTGATTCCAATATTTTTTCTTGTATCACATTTGAAAACTTTGATGGAAATGGTTAAAATTCAAAACAACTTCCTCAATTTTCCAAAAAAAGTTTTTATGCTCACTTGAGGTGGTTTTAGGCTTTTGTGGAAAAAAAAAAAAAAAAAAAAAAAAAAGAGAGGGAAAAATTTTTCCAAAAAAAGTTCTATTGTGGAAAAT